CTTTATCCGCTGAACTCAAAACCGTATTCATTATCTGCAGAACGATATTTCGGATGAACCGTTCCCCTCATTTCACGTGTTTGCACAAGTGTACGAGTATTTCGATAGTTACTAAAGGTCTCGAATGGTTTAGCGGTTTACACTGTTGATTATTGTACAATGGATGCCCGTTGTTTTTGGTCGGTGCAAATGTTTTTGCGTTAGCGCTTTTATAAGCGCTAATTCTTCTCGGAAAAGCGTTCTGCAGTTAACGAAGCTAGTTTCGAGATCAGGGTTTCAAGGCAAGTCCTTTGATTTATAACATACTAGCTGGCTTACCCGGCTCCGCCGTATGTTCCAAATAGAAAACTCCATTTCTTAACCGATCCGGACCAAACTTGGCACACATACACTTTGGGCCCCGGCGGGTGTCATAGGCTACTTTTCGTCATCGATCGATGTCCATTTTATCGATTTTTTGCAAAATTTGAGCTAGGGGGCTGGAATTTGGCAGGGGGTGTAATCGAGCATGCTGATCACCCCCACGGGGGTGATCAGCATGCTCGATTACCCCTCTGTGCCAACTCCCAACCCCGTAGCTCAAATTTTGCAAAAAATCGATAAAATGGACATCGATCGATGACGAAAAGTAGCCTATGACACCCGCCGGGGCCCAAAGTGTATGTGTGCCAAGTTTGGTCCCGATCGGTTCAGAAATGGAATTTTCTATTCGGAACATACGTACAGACAGACAGACAGACAGACATACAGACATACAGACAGACAAACAGACATTCAGCTTTATATATAAGATTCCAAAAGGTCACGGCCACCAGTTATCCTTCCCTTGTTAGCTAAAGGGCAACAGTAGTGTTCATTTGCTCAAAATCACAAATGCTGAATTTTTGCCGCAATGATGGTGAGTGTTTCTAAATTTAGACTTGAGTCGAGTTCAACAAAAGTTTTAATTGGTTCGAAAAGTTCTACGCCTAACATCTTCAAGCTACCGCGCTCGGAAGCAATTACAGCGTCATGATCTCAGTTTGCTTCCACTAAAATTTCAGACAATCAATTTATGAGTAACAGTTTGCACAAAAATCTATAAATTTGAGAAAGAAAAAAATAAGGGCTGAATCAAGCAGGCTGTTGACGTTCTGCAAGGTAAAAAAATTTATTGGCAGTTACAGTCCATTAAATGTGAATGTATGCTTGCGGTGCCGCGCGCGCGCAAGGTACCTGCATTGCTGGAGTAGCTTTTTGAACAGGCGCCATTTCCACCAAAAAATTCTGACCCAAATCTACTTGAATGTATAGAACTGCGATGCACAGAGAAGAGAAAAAGTTGAAAAATTGTACATGCTGTGTGAAAACTTCGACTTATACGTTCAGCATTTTAACAAATTCCACAGACAGAATAGACTTAAAAGCTTAATTCAATCGGCTTATCCGAAGGATTAACGATAGTACTGCGTTGAAGTATTAGGTTGTCAAGAAAATAATGTCCGTTTTTTTGCTTGCTTTAACAAAGCATCAAACTCAACCCAACAAAGGGTAAGGGGTACTGTTCGATAGAGCAAAGCAAGCTCTACAAGATGGCACTCATGTCTTTGCGCCATGCTCGATCCACGGAGAGTTCGAACTCAAAATCTAACGATTTCCAAATGCCCAAAAAATCGAAAAAAATCAGATCTTCGTCGAAATAATTTCTACGGACCTCCCACTCGCTCACATCAATACTATCGATATCTGATATCCATATGTGCGATTGCCGTATTTTTTCCTTGACTAGAAACTGAGAAAACGAAAATTTCCCTGATTTTCTCAAAGCAATGCTGAGCCGTTTTTGCATATGTAGTTCTATACTACGAGCCTAGGTAAGCATAACTGTAGGTTTTCAGCCTATTTCGAGCGGTACTTTTCGAGAAATGTCGATTTTAGCACTGAAACTAAAACGAAAAAATCCGAATTCGTTATTTTTCGAAAACTACCGCTTGGAATGGGCTGAAAATCTACAGTTATACTTACCTAGGCTTGTAGTATAGAACTACATATGCAAAAACGGCTCAGCATTGCTTTGAGAAAATCAGGGAAATTTTCGTTTTCTCAGTTTCCAGTCAAGGAAAAAATACGACATTCGCACATATGGATATCAGATATCGATAGTATTGATGTGAGCGAGTGGGAGGTCCGTAGAAATTATTTGGACGAAGATCTGATTTTTTTCGATTTTTTGGGCATTTGGAAATCGTTAGATTTTGAGTTCGAATGCTCCGTGGATCGAGCATGGCGCAAAGACATGAGTGTCATCTTGTAGAGCTTGCTTTGCTCTATCGAACAGTATCCCTTACCCTTTGTTGGGTTGAGTCTGGTTGCTTTGTTAAAGCAAGCAAATAAAAACGGACATTATTTTCTTGACAACCTAATATAAGTGAGTATGAAAAATATCGTGCAAGAAAATTTTTTGTAGCAATCTTTAAACTTAGAGCTTCACACGATTTATTAGTGATTCCCGCATAAAGTTCGAATTCAAATCATCTAGTCAAAGTCTACACCAAATCCGGAATTGTAGATTGACTCATTGACAGATTCGATCAGTCAGCGAAAAGCACACGGTCGCAGTCGAAGCGTGCACAACCACATGCAACTGCTTTAACGCTTGCAGTAGCCGCAGACGCCTGCACTGACTATATTCCAATTGAATTCCGATCTACTCGCATTCGACTCTGTAACAATCCGATTATGATCCGATTGGATGCGTGTCATGGGCAACTAGGTCACCGTTATTGGAAAAAACAATAAACTTAGAATACGCTTTGATGCTGGCCCCAAATCATGCTATTCATAAAGCGCAATTACCCTAACGTAACTATATCATATACAGTATTAGTGGCGTATTCGGCTGCGTCCAGTCCTGTCAATACATTGTGATAAGTGCCATTTCCATATTTTGCACATTTTCCTGCCCTCTTCCCAATCTTATTATGTTTTCATAATCAACATGTCCCCTTACCCGCTGTACCAACTCTTAGCCCCGTAGCTCAACTTTTTCAAAAAAAAATTGAACAATATAGGTGGAATCGATATCGACCGATAACGAAAAAGTAGCCTACGACACCCGCCCCGCCCGAAGTTTTCATAAATTACATAAATTTTTCATCTTTTTTTGAAAATAATGTTCTGTTTCATAGCCAAGTTTGGACCGGATCACTTCAAGAACAAGAATTTGTCTATGGAACATGCTTACATAAGACAGACATAGACGAAAGACATTCTTTTTATATATAAGATGGTACATGGGGCAAGCATCAACGCATTATCAATGTGAACAAGTTTGTCGGTTTGTAGGGGTACTGAGGTAATGACTATCAAATGTCGTCTGAAACGATGTGGACCGAACTTCGCACTCGTATAATTAGTTTCAACTGACTTTAGGAGGAATTTGGACTGGCGGGAGTCCGCTTCGCAAAGATTCGCGCCGCTTCGCAGTCTGCGTCTCTTCATTCCGATCCATATCGCTGAGCCAGCGGCGGTGCGGACGCGCCGCTCCACCCTGGTTTCCTACTCCGAGTTGAAAAAGACTGTACATTTCGGAATGTGATGAGTGTCACAGGCAACATTTTGCTGACGATCGATGCCAATAATTCAATTTGCAAGCTTTGAGCTGCAGGGTGAAGACTTGGCACAAGGGAGTAAGTGAGTATGCTGATCATAAACACAGTAATATTTTCTAAACTATGCATTATATACACAATGAAGGCATTGCAAATTTGTTCTCACAAATTTGCCAACAACTTTTTTCTTGAAAGTAATATTCTTGTTTGACTACTAGCTATTTAACATCATCTCTAAAGTGACCAAAGGTTTCGAATAGGATAGGCAGGAGCAGATCGAAGAGTCAACGTGATGTAGGGCCAAAATGTACGAGAAATGACAGACCACTTGGAAAAAAAACGAGCGCCCCAAACGCTCTGCCGTACAGAGGTGCGACATCTGCAAAAAGGATTATTCAAGTTAAGCTGAGCGAGGATTAGAGACAACGCCTTGACTCCATCTCTTGCCTGTAGATTTTTGCCCGAGCAAGATGTCTTGGGCCAAAAACTGAAATTGACGTACCCTTACTCCTCCCCCCCCCTTGAATGGGTTATATAGGAAAGCGACTCAAAGGATTATGGAATTGTGCTAGTTTTTTTTCTGAATCTCAGTAAGCTTTGTAAGGGCTTTTATTCAAATAAGGATGCCGCCATCCCTTCCTTCTAAAACAGGTGGCCCGCTGGAATTTTGCAAATCATCCCGAGACTTCTTCGAGAAACATGACTAAAGCCATGCCAAGCTATTCAAAAAAGAATCTGCCGTTCCTCCCCTCACAAAATGTCTTAGACCGCCACTGGTAAGCATCTGTTTATGAGATAGGTGAGATAGCATCTGTTTATGAGATAGGTAAGAGGCGTCGTCTGTGTAGCCATGCCTACGCGAGTAGAGCATTCTAATGAGAGCTTTACGTTCTGCCAGCGAAGTACTCTATAGTGCCCAGCGCTGGGTATGAACAGTTGCACAACCGATGCACGATTTGTCCAACAATGTGGAACATTTGCTGCGATAAGATCTTTCTTGCACTTCAGAAACGATTTGTGAAAAAAGATTCCTGTTTTTTGATGATGGGATCAGCGTAAAAACTGGGGTAAACTCTCTAATTGGGTTCATTCAACTTAGATTTCGGCTAGATAGTTATATAAGAAGATGCAGCATGGCTTTTATCACCGCTGTATCTCATTACCAAGATTTCTGCTTCTGTTCGTTGCATTATCTGTATGTGTAAAGAGGCGAGGACTGAAACGTAAGCGGTTTTATTTTCTGTTCTGAACTTCGCTAAACAACTTGTGAAATTGCTTCCTTGCAACCCCATCAGAACTGTTCGGAGTCAGTAGTCTTCGGATTATTGATAGAGCTTATCGTAGTCACATTAGCGAGATTGTTCAGCTCCAAAATTCTTGGGCGCTCACTTTATATGTCCTCACCAAGCCATGATTCCGTCCAAGTTAATTCCTACAAGTGTCGACAAAGTGCGCCCTGGCGATATAAAGGCGGTTGCAGCGATGGGAGATGAGTTTCTGGTGAGCTAGACAAAGGTACATAATTGAATAAACCTCGCCTTCCAGCTCTCGCCACTGTCAGGAACGTTCAAAGAACAAGGAAGCTCATTCGTTACTGGAGGCGAGGGTTTTCTGAGAAACCATGCAACCTTACTGAGTAAGTGGTCATAGCAAACGTAATTTTTCAGTTACATTTTTCAGTTAGTAATTAAGAGATCAGAGTTTTCGAATTATTACACGATCAGTGAAATATCTGTGCTTTCAAACGTAAAATTGGTGTACTCGACCTTCTCAATTTGAAGAAGTTCGAAAATGACCAGATTCCAATTTTGCGACTTTTCTTTTGTCTTTAAATTATGACTTCCGAATTGTTCCATCTCCACCCATTATTTCTGAGCTTTGTCTACTAGCCATAGCATGTTGAAATTTCTGTCCGAATTTCAAATCAATCACAGTCTCAAAATTCTATCCTCACTCGAAAGGGTTTATAAGTTCATAGGAGCGAGGTAAGGAAAGTCCAAAGAAGCTACGATCGGGCACGCGGGCTTAGCCCATTCGCTTAGATGTCGTTCCCTTTAATTGCTCGAAAGTAGCAGCCATTGATGTTGCTCACATCATAGAGAACCTATACTGTCTGCTACTCTGCATCAATATCTGCACGTAACTTGTACCCTCGTGTGTATAAGTTCATTCTACATTTAGTTCTTGAAAGTTTTTTCCTATTTCAAAGCACTCTTGATTTTTGGAGGGCTCCCGTGCTTCGCTTTTGCTCCATTTTGGGTTATGGTGCCCTTTTCAGAGGAACCATGAGCGCAACAAATGCATAAGTAAATTAAAATAACTAAAAAAGTAATTAGCCAACAGGAGAAAACCGAAAGTTAGATTGAAACATGAGAAGTTAGAACCGATCTAGAGAAAATAGAGAATAAAATGAAGTTCTACAATAAGCTACTACCCGACTGATAAACTATGAATCGTTCTAACGTTTGGATTGGGCAATCATCAAAACGAGTCGACGCGCCGCAAGTTTTGTCTAAGCTAGTCTAAATTCTAAGGAGTCGTTTGCTATAGGATGCTTAATACTAGTACTTGGTATTAGGTCACACCTTGTTGTAGATTCAATATCTCCATATCGACTGCGGTCAAAGTTCAGCAAAATTCCTTAGATAGCTTTAAAAGTCTTTATTAAAAAAATGTCTGACCAGTTTTTCCAGAAATGCGACTGCAAAAGTTGAGATCACTTGATTGTCCGGTGATCAAGACTAGACCTTGGTTGCTCGAATAATTGGCAGAAGTTCATAATGTGTCCAATAATCGCTCAACTTTCCACAATACCTTCTTTCCATTGATTCTCAGAAAGTCAGGAAACAGCTCTAAATGATCATTTAGGGAATTCTTTTGTAGGAAGACGGAAGTTCAAAAGCTCTTTAGATTTATATAGATCGTACGAGCTTCTTTAGAAACTAACTGAATCTCAACAAAATAGGAATTTTGCACAACATGCTTTGCAAACTTATTTTAACCAATCATATTGTCAAGAATATTGAATCATGTTTTCCAGATATTCTACGCTTTTACAACGCAAACGTCACAGCAGGATCTTATGGATGCAATCCGCTCAATGAGTGTTTCAACGTTGCTCAGCTTAATGCAACAAGCAATGACCTTGAGCAGCAGGCCATTTCATTGATAAAGAAAATGAAGAGTGCTGGAGTATGTACATTATCAAATTACTTACTTATTGAAAAAGCACTTACCCTAGATAATCGCTGGGGCAGGCGGTCCGCAAACTCACGCTTTTCTGCAAGCGGTCAGCAGAATTTTGGGGCGTGGCCAAACCTTCAGCGAGCGGTATCGTTTACTGTCTAATGTTCTACCAGCGGGCAGCAACACAGAATTTTCTGCAGGCACTCGTCAGATATCTCTTTCAGCAAACGCTGGCCGTACTTTCAACAGGCGCTCGGACTGTTTTTACGCAGTTTCGGGCTTACATCGAGCACAGGTAAGACTCTGTGTGACAGAGGTGTCACATTGGTTTAATTACTAAAGTTTGAGGTACCTTCTCTCAGCGGAAAGTACCTGGGGGCTGCGCGGTCCTCCACAAAGAACCGTGCGGCCCTCGAAAATTTTGCATATTCTCGCGGAAAGTCCGCGAGAATGCGGCCACTGCGCCGCAGCTAATCTATAAGGAAACCGCTATTGTTCTCCAAGCATTCGTCTAAATTTCGCTAAAATTCTTCCAAATATCTGCAAGCGGACTGCAGGAAATCAGCGAACTATTCTTCCGGTGTCCGCCCGCCCATAAATCGCATGGCCGCCTGCCCCCGACGATTATCTGTGTAAGCGGTCATAACGCACGCATATGACCATGATAAGCTATTATTTAGAATAATAATGCGATAATTCCTCAACCTCCCTCTCAGCAAAAATTCTCTTCAATGCATATTGAAGCACTTATTTTCTGATATGATGTAAAATATAGCGTGAGCTACAAACTGGCACAAACCACTTGCTTTTTGATAACGAAATATAAAAATCCAGGCATTTTTGAAAAAAAAAATGGAATATAAAGGTTTACTGGGGTTTTAAGCAAAAATGAAATTTGCAACCTAGACCACTAGTCGGACCGAGGAGGAAGGTGCTCTCTCGAGAAAAAGTCAAGAAATCTTTGAAATTTACTTACAGTGGTTATAAGAACGTGCAAGTAACTTGTTTATTCTTGTAAATTATTGAAATAATTTTCAAAAATTTTGAAACTCATACTAGCCTTGTGAAAAATATTTTTGGGGAGCGTGGCCGCCGTTTGCGCCAACTAAAGCTAGATTTTGGGGGTCATGCACTCGAAAAAATTTGAGAAGCACCCTAAACACTTTCCAGAGTGCGCGGCAAACACCACACACTATCTGGAAAAAATTCCTCCCCCCCCCCGGTACGTAAATCCTGAGGCAGCCACTGCAGGTACACAAGATGATCTGAAGTTATACATGAGTTGTTGCTAGAGGCTGGATTGTTGACTTCAATAAAAAAGAAATTGGATTTGAAAGCATGTAGATCATTCGGCTCACGAAGCTGAACGGACCGCTGTAATGGCTAAGGAATCGGAGTCTTATTGTTAGAATTTACCGGGATTTTACATAGTGGAGTTATTTGACCTGCAACACAAATGTCATATAGTCTTTGTTAAAGTGATTTCGTTTCGCTTTTAGCGTAAAGCTCCATCTCGTAAACTCACAGTATTCTTACAAAAAAAGGCCAGCCATGCGAAATCAGTAATGTTTTCGCGTTCAGAATGTCGCCTAGGTCAAGTTTCAGCCAAAGCTGCAATTGTAAAATTTTTCTGCCTACATATACTTATATCTGCCGTAATCTCCAATGCAACATTATACGTTGGAGAACAGCAGCTGAGTAGTAGCTTATGCATATACATACATAATGGCCAAATTTGAATGCGGCATCTTCAATGAGAAGAAGTTATAGAAGAGCTGCAAAACTCACTCAACAACCTAGTACTCTGAATAAGTTAGTGAATGTATGCGTATCTAGCAAGTATTTACTACTTCTTTGCTACTTACATGCTTACTACTTGCTTTCCCCAATCCCATGCTCAGCACAACCGTTTAAGATAGATCTCGAGACCGACTGGAAACTCATCACCATATTTGTTGGGACGCACGACTTGGGTCAGGATTCTTGCAAAGTGGGTTTACGCAAGTAATGAATGATTAACAAAATTGTATTCAGACACCACATTCTGCAAAGGAGTATAAGTTTAATTTTGAAATTGCTTTGTGGCAGTTAAGATGGCAAATGAAGCGAGTACTAATATCCATTATCTCCATGTGGAACCTAGAATTTCTTCCACAATTGAGAGAAAATATGACAGAGTAAGTTCTCTATACTCCGATGTGGCCCGAGCTAATATCTGCGTATCGATGCAGGAAAAAGGAGTGCACTTTGAAAAATTTCTACTCAAAAAGACGGAAGCTTTGTGAAGAGTATAGAAAGGCTAGTTTATATTCAATTTCTGCTTCTGTCAATGTAATTAGTGCCAAAAGAAAAGTTGGATTCTTTTTATTCAATGATGTCTCAGCAGTCAGAATCAAAACATATCACCATACTGCTCTGTAAGTATAATCCAAGTCATAAGATCCTTAACGATAGCGCCGCAATGCCAACTGCTGCCTCTGCAGTGCTTCAAAAATGACATGAGAGAAAAGAATGGGTAGGGGAACGAAAGCCGCCAGTTCAAGCGGGCAGCTGTTCCTTTTGCAATGCTGTTGCATGTCGTTCTAGGACCAGTCGTCCACAAAGGCGGCCCAAACTGGCTGCTTTCGTTTCCCCACCCGAAAAGAACCTGGTTTCTGATCAGCAATAAAATTTTCTTTTTCTTAAGCACACACGATACAGACCCCCATTCTATAAAACATCCTATTGGACAAGGCTCGTCTTGCTAATACTTCATTCAATACTATGACATATGTGTCTGCGATTTGATGCCATCAATTTAATTCTAATACTGCAAAAGTACGCAATTGGGTAAATCTTGGCTGTTATGGACAGTACCAAAAATAAATTAGGCCATTGGAAGAGCACTGCGTATAAATGCAATGCAGTGGACTTACGAACGACTTTTGCAAACTTATATGTAATGTCGACATATTTCGACTACCTCCTGCTTGAACGGTTATTAAAACCGCCTTGATTAGTATACCAAAAAAAGTCCTGTGCTTTTGACGAAAGAAATTTATCAAAAGTTGTCTGGCACTGAACAGCTTTTCCAACAATGATTTCACCAAAGTGGGTCCTTTTTAACTGGTGGAAGGACAAGATAATCTCACTCGGTAAACTCATCTCACACCCTTTTCCATCCATCTTCACTTAGCTCCAAGCAACTTCATCAAATCAATCTTTTCAACCTTATTCATCTGTATATACAAGTTGTTGTAGGCCGTTTACGAGATACAAGATGAGCGCAATTTTGATGCCAAAGATTTCACTGTAGTGGTCCAAGGATTTTTGGAAGGGGCTGAAAACGCTGTCATCGACGTGAGTAAACTTCCGAAATCAGTGCTGAATTGCTGCTTTGCTTTTCATTGGATGCGATTATTTTGTGAGACTTTGCTGCAAAAAATTCTTGTCAAAGGAAAGCGGAAATTATGACAGTGCATTCTATACCAAAGACCTCAAGCAGCTGACTAAATATGGATACGAGCTTATTGCAAAAGCTTATTGGACTTCGCTGCTAGAACCTGTTGGAAAGAAAAATCTTGCCCCATCTATAACGGACAAGCGCAATAGATTGAAGTGCCCAATCAAGGTAAGTTTCGACTGCACTACTGTTGCTTCCAAAGTTCCGCTCTTTTTAAAAACATTGAAAATACGAGCAACAGTAATGTTAAAGATGGAGCATCTGAAATCATCTGTCAGCAAAGGGAGACTTTATTCTATCCTAATTTCAAGTGTAAGCAGAGCCCTATTTGCTTTACGGATGAACATGACGAGCGATCTTTGTCAGGACCCTTTACAGCGGGGTCGCATCGATGCGATAAGTGTGACAGAGTGTCCACTTTACAAGGCATACGAAACGAAAGCTAGGTGTAGCTCATACACTTGAGATTAGGGTGAGTACTTGTAATGTTATTGATAAACTCCTTTCTTACTTTCCCTGGATGACCTCTTCATTTTTTTATAGAAAAAGAACTTGCTTAAATGGGCCAAAATGATCCCTTTAGCATTTCCCTTATATTCGGACTATTGGAAACAGCGGGAATATGAGACAAACTACTTCGAGCTGAGCAATTATACAAGGACCACCGTCTGGATCTCTATTTAGAGTAGCCTTGTTTGGTTTCCTATGAACCTTGCTTCAATCAAATAAACTTTTATGAACAAACTACTAAACTACGGGCGTCGCATAGAATTAACAGTGTGTACATTTGATTAAGCTTGGTTGCAGTGGTCGTTCAGTTTTTTCGTTTACATTGCTCATTTCATTACCTATTCATCTGAATGCGCATTTGCTATTTCACGAGCAGATCGAGTCCCAATGCATCGTTTTGATTTATTGTTTTCAAATGTTTACGATACAATGTTTGTAGCCCACATAAATGCGCAGCGCTTAAAACAGTGAAAATTATTGGTTCGATGTTTCTTCTAAGAGAAAACACAAACTTCGCGGAAAAAACTTTCAAAATTTCAGATCCTACTGTGTTACTGTTAATTCATAATTTCGAAAAGAAATCGCTTAAGTTGTTGGTTAAAAGCTCCATTCAAATTTTGCTTGCGTCTCCAGGGCCGGTAGAAATCTACCCTACCTGGCGGCATCAAAGATGCCGCCAACTTGGCACACATCGCGGAAAGTTCATCTTCGGCGGCAGCTCGCGGAGTGATTCTAGGTTTTAATAATCCTACTTAACCTTAGTACGCAATATTTCGCACATCAATTTTTGATGATGCACACAGCCGCAAAACTGCTACCTCGCGCGCGGTCGAACCTAAGTGCGTTAACTTCAAGTGCCACCACGTTAACCATTCGACCATCCGGTCAATCATTGACGGTTGCACCAGCAATAGGAGGAACGCAGTGGTAAGTGGCCGCCTGTAAGAGGGATCGATACATTGCGTGAGAGACTTTGACCTAAAAGAACAGCTGATTGATATGAGCGAGAGAGGGGCGAAATTGGTGCAAACGAGATTTAGAAGGAATTTTCAAAGATGGTGTTCTTTATGGTTCTCAGGCAGTACTAGATTTTTTTTACTGTAAGAAAATCGTCGTTTTAAAAAAGAAAAACTCATATAATGAGAAAAATGATAGTTTCTTGATGGAAAGTAGAATTTTATGATTTTTTCGCCCGACGTAAACTGTGTGATATGCCGCACTACCCAAACTTGCAGACGGCGCCAGCAAGGTGCCACCACCTCGACATGGTAGGGGCACATCAGGATGGTGGCACCTTGATCTCTCAAAAGAGCACGCTATTTCTCGCGCTCTTTGACCTGGCGGCATCTCTCAGCGCTGAAATTTCGACGAGATGCCGCCAGGTCAGTTCGCGAAGCTGCCGCCAGCACCTCCTGCCTTCCTCTACAAATCTGTTTAGGGAGGTTTTTAGCACCCTCAGTTGCCAGGTAAGGTTCCCTAAGGTCACTATGACCTCCTCGACCAAAAATACATGTTGAAAAGGGTTGGGAGGGCACAGACTTGAGGTCGGAGTTCGCGCCGACTTCACGTAAAGATGACGCCGACCTGACGGCGAAACATGCCGCCTGGTCAGGGGGATTACTACCGGCCCAGATATCAAAGCGCTTGACGAGTGCTGCAGGCACCTAGGCGTAAAATGCCTGACCAACCTTTGCTTCCAAATGTATTACCCTAATTTCACGAGTATAGGACACGAGGGATTTTTTCTAAATCGAACAGCACAGACATGCCGATGGACTTCGCGATTAGAGAACTATATACAGTGTTGCACATTGCTTGAGAGTATCGTGCGACATAAGTCTCGCTTTTTGGAATACAGCGAGACGGCTGAGCGCCTCGCTTGAAAAATCTAACTGCGTTTCATACTCGTGAATATAAGGTAGCAGATATACACATCATCTGAAGTATTATCTCAAACAGTTACCTTCTAAATACTAGGCACACCTTTGATAGCGTAGAGACAGGGTCTTGAAAGTGAAGATTGTTTGATATCTGCCTCTCATAAAAAGTGAAGGCTGTTCACATAAAACCAGAGAAGAAAAAAAAGTGTAAAACAATTAGCAAAAAGCATAAGAAACTCTTGAAAAGTAAATAAAAACTCTGCAATAAGTTTGAAATGTTTCAGTAGTCGGCATTTCGAATTACAGGTTTTCGCTCCAGGAGTAGGTAATCCACAACACGGGGAAAAACAAGGAAAGCTAGTTTTTCTCTCGTGTTTATTCCAAAAACAACCATCTTTCGAAAGTAACAATTGACAGGAAAAGATAAACAAGAAAAGAATCAGTTTTGAAAAAGCAGAGTTTTGTTTCTACCAGGTCGAAATGCACGTGAAAGTCAGCCTAGTCCTTGAAGCGCCCCCTCTTTATCTCGCATTGTGTTCCTGTTTTCTGAGACATTGTCTGAATTTGTGTAGTGCTGTTCTGGAAATATTGTCTGAATTGTTGCGCTCATTATTTTGAGCCATAGCACCCAAGCTGTAAAAACACTGAATGAGAAAAGTTAAGAAAAACGCATTTTTCGCTTTTTTCCACAAAAGATTACGCCTCAGTCGAAGAGATAAGCGCTGCATCGTTGTCTACATTATAAACAGATGCAAGGTCTGTAGAAAACACGAAGAAATTGCGTGAAATGAGTCAAACTGGGGAAAGAACAAGCGATTTTCGAATACACGGTTCTTGCCGGAGCTTTCGTTGAAATCAAAAAATGCGGTTTTGGGACGATGTCAGCATGGAAGTAGAGATCAAGAGCATCGTGTGGTATACAAGCTGCTGGAATTGGGTTGAGAACAGCAAAGAAAAGGGTACCAGAGCCAATTGCTCGTTTTCAATCAGGACATGACTGCATTTTGAGAAAGCATTGTAGCAACAGAATGTGCAGAGAAAACGCATGCTTGAGGCCTCTTCTCTCACCCACGGCGCTAGTAACGAAATATACAAAAAAATGAATAGGGGGTCTAATTCCTTAACCAAATGGCATTCTGTCATTGAATACACTTTTTTGCAGGAAAGATTTAAGGGTACTTTTCCGTTATCGGAACCCATTTTTTCAAAAGACTCATATAATACGTTCTTTAGTCAGGAAAAATTTTTCTTAGGTTTCATGAGGGCTACCTTCTTGCCAAGTTTCACAAAAAAAGACACTTTTTGATCAATTTTAACATGTTTATTTCAAAATCATTTCCGGTGAAGTGAAAGAGAATTTGTGATTACTCTAAAGCTGTTTAACTGTTTTCTATAAGAGCAAAACACTTGAGTTTATTTTAGCACATCTTGATTGCTTTCAGAAATGATTCAAAAATATCGTTCTCTTCTAAGCCTTTTTGCCATGCGAATTTAGCCAGAAAACACTGTAAATGATGGTTTGAAAAAACTTGCTGCTGCTTATTTTTCCTCTCACATGGCGAAATTTTTGCGCGTTTCTCTATTTTAAGCAAGTTTAATCCGTTCTTCGATAATAGTATACTGTTATTATTATGACCATGTTCATTTCGAGGCTGTTTCGTCAAAATAAAGACATACTTGGTAAAAAAATAGATTGACCTTACGTCGCTAGGTAGGCAAAACAAACTCTTGTTGAAACTTGTTAAACATATAGACGACATGTCAAATTTTTGTGACACGTGGCAGAAGGTTGACACTTGTTCCTGTGAAGCTGGGACCAAATATGGTACAAGGATAGAAGCAATATCCTTCTTCGAGAAAATGGGTCCGGATAACGGAAAAGTATTGAATTAAGCTTTAAGAAGTTTGATCCGGATACGATGGATGCATATTCGCTGATGAAATCGAACCAACATCGAACCATACCTCCTTTCACTGAAGGCGATGAAGCGCATTTAGATTTTTTGCATATAAAATTTTCGATTTACACCCAAAAATTGGAAAAAGACCTTATCGGTTTTCAGAATTAGCTAGTTTTTGATTAGATAAGACTGCTTTTATCTAGCTCTGCAGAAAAGATAGGAAAAAAGGACAGTCTGCGTCGATTCCTTATGCTATTAGCTTTCGAAGGGTGTATTGAATGCGGTGCACAGAGCTTTTCCACTCCAAAAAAAAGTCTTGCTCCATCGACTCATAAAAGCTAAACCATTTAGTGGGCGAAGAAAGTTAGTTCTAAATACCTCCACCCAGTTTTTAGGGAGCTGCAAGCTTTTTCATTTACCAAAGTGTACTGTTAGAAAGCTTACGAATCGGGAATTTGAGGTAGACCGTCTCTTTTTTTCCTATCCCTCTCCCCCCTCTACTCAGAGTTACATGACATTTCATTGGAAAACATGCGTGTATTTGTAAGCAATCTCTACGCAAAGGATCAATAAAGATGCCTAATTGTCTCTGTGAAACAGAGCTAGACGCCACTAAACGTTGACCATCTCTATTTCGTAGCCCTCCTTTTCATTTCAGAAATGGAGCACGAAATGATTGCACAAATTAACTGATGTTGCAGCTAGATAAAATTTCAATGTAAATTATGAATTGCCAGGACGGCATACGTCGATTTTTAGTTTCCAGTTTTCGAGAAAAGAATCGATTTTTTAAAATTTTTTGATGTGACATGAACTTTCCCTGAATCAGATAATTCTTTTCTTTTAATGGCCTCTCAAAACCAAAGCGTAAAAATTCTCCATATCATATCTCTCTACCACTTCTCCTCCTCCTTTTCACCCTCCAGTCGATATGCTAACGATAGTCGATATGCTAACTCAGCAATAACCAGGGCTCAACTGCCCATTCACTCTACAAGGTTGTAAGCAGTCGAAACCCCCTTCATCTGGAGGGGATCCTGCTCTCAGTATCGCATCTGTGGACCAGAGCCGACGGGGATTTGGCTCTGGTCATAGAGCTTTGCGAGTTTTCAATGAAACACTGCAACATTAAATATCATTCTAATCGTCATGACACGAGTAGGAGGGAGCACTGACAACGTCACAAGCGTCGAAAGTTACTCACCAACGAGATAGACCAGCATTTTCGTGCGCGACCCTCTGCGCAAGATTTGAGCGCAGTTTTGCGATTTTATTCAACTCCAATAGCTTCTGTAAACTTATGAAACTCAACTTTAGTCGAATAAGAGGTTAAGTGAGAAATGTTGTCCTGAATTCTGTAGAAACGTTCATAAAAACCTTCTACTCAGCGTAA